CAAACAACGCATGAGTAACGGCACTCAAACAAGTGACAAAACAAAAACAGGCCCTCCGGCCCAGCACTAGCTACTGAAGTCAAGAGAGAATATATTTAGAGGCTACGTTTTCCGCCCGTTCCGATCTGCAGTAAGTTACAAGCCCAGGGAAAAATGTTTTTGTGGCAGGTGATTTTCTTCCAACAGGCGGAAAAAAATAAAGATAGAAACAATTTAGCACACCCACAAAATGGCCAAAAGAGAACAAACTCGGTGGCTAATTCAGTACTACATTGGGGTTTTATTACGCCGCGGTATTGACCATTGCTTACAATAACTCCCTAATCCAATACAAGTGTATGCCTGGCTCGGGATAAAGGCCGTGCTTGGAAACTGAGCTCCATCTTCAGGCAAAAAAGAAATTGAATTGCGTACACAGCAGATGACTAGAACAATTGAGGCTCGACGAGGACTCAAGAATCTGCGCTCAATTATTCTTAGGCTGCTGCGCGTTTTAAGAACTTCAAACACACTCCATTAAAAATCGCTTACAATGCCCGGGGGGGGGGGGGGGTGAAAATAAGTATCTTGCGTCATTGTTTGTGTGGGGTGTTGTGTCTGAAAAGACCAAAAACCCTACTGAGATGCTGTGTTGTGGGGGGGGGGGGGGGGGGGGGTTACTTGGGTTAATTTTTGCTGGGTATGTGCTGCTGGCCTCTCAGAGCCCCTACCCCATTATAGTCGATTTTGGGGCCAATTATAGACCCCATCTTAGTCACTTTTGGGCAAATATGTAATTTTGGCGATCCCAACTTAGGCATCCTAAAATAAATTGACCCATTTTTTAAATTGAATGAAGAACACTTTACTTTTCACCTAGAGTACAAACATTCTGGTACCTTTGCAAACCATTAATATGAAGAACTTTCTTACCCCAAAAATCCAAACAAGTGCAGCCCATTCTAGTAACTCTATTGAAATGCGACCCCATGACAGCCAATCCAATCGTGAAAATGCGACCCCATCCAGCGGCACATTCACATTAGCTTCTTTTAAGGAAGTAACCCCCCCGCCCTCCTCCCCGGGCTTACGATATATATCCGATATGGTGAGCATAAATCAGTCGAGGTTGATTCTCCTCAAGTGGAAAGTAGAATGTTAAATTACGTTTTATCGTCAACCGGAGAGATGGAGAATCTAAGTCGGTCTTGGTGGAAGTATAGTTGGACAAAAACTGGTTCTCCACTACGTCCAAGTATCTGACGCCAGCTTAAGGGGAATCACTGACAAAAACAACAGGCGATGCGAAAATTCATGGAGAATTTGCGTTGTCGAAGGTAACTGATTTGAAGAGTGTATGCTTGTATTAAAGCATGTATCACTTTTGGCTTGAGGGACCGTAACTCTCTGTGGCTGTTCCATGTCTGACACGTTGTGAGGTAGGTGAAGACTTTTTTTTTTCACTTGCAATTAGGCAAACAGAACTGTCGATAGTAAGTTAAGGGTCGATTTTGACAAGGTTTGTGATTGGCTGGGAAAACAATAGGGATGGTGATATAACAATGCCCCAATCCCTTAAAACAATAGGTAGTGCAGGTTATAGGGCCCAATGAAATGAGAGGTTTGGATGCGTGCAGGTCAATCGCAAGCTTACAGAAAATCTAAATTCATTTTGTAGAACGCTATAGAAACCAACTATAACAATAAAAATATATTGAACGGTCATACAAGGTTTTCGTCGGCAGACTCAAAAATAAGAACTAGCTTACATGAAATGTCTCTGTAAAAATAAGGTAATAAATTTTTGGCGCAGATCGAGGGCATGCTTCATTTAGGCTATTTGCAAAGATACGAGCTTGCAACCCACAGTTCTGTGAAACACGCAAGAGCTTTAATTCAGTCGACATTTTACTGAGTGTTACTAGCTAGGCCTAAACTCAAAAATAAGGCATGGCAATCATAAGAAGAAGCGGATTCCTAGGGAAAGAGCTGAAAATTAATTATTAAAAAATATATGGTAGGATTTTACAGAAATTTATGGATCTGCTTGAACAACTAAATCAATATTACTTGGTGCCATTTTACTCCATCATCTACCAATTTAATTACTCTGATTTCCTGATGGAACTTGAAAACACACACACCTTTTGTCCCGACTGAATTAATTAATTACAGACACTACTGTTATTATAGGTCAAAAAAATTCATATACTTTCCACTTATGCTCACAAATAAATATGGTGCGTGATTTTACCTTCTTTTCACACCAAATACGTGGTTCACTTAAGGCTCCAAAACTCGCTAAGTTTGATAACCTATTAAGGCTTCCAGGAAAGGACTATTTTGCAAGTCAGTGCACAAGTATTGTAAACGTGTTATGACTGACTTTTTCCGGCACGTGCGAAGATTTCCACGGACAGTTCAGTCACGTGCCATCGCCTTTCATTTAAACGTGTAATAAATAACGCAACTTCAGTAATGACAATCAAACAAACGAGCTCTCAGTGAGCTTTACACGTACAGGGAAAGCATCAGCACTATTCACAGGTTAGACTTAGTTAAGTATCAGAAGTATTCTGTATTATACTCTTACCCTTGGGAGGGAAGGACTTTTTGTACTCTGAGTTTCATCTGAGAAGCAGAGACACATGAAATAAGGTAAAGTAATCATTTCCTGATTGTTGGTATTTTCACATCCCGCCTGCGGTCATTGCAAAGTGGAATTCATAAAAAAGGCTTAAGAAAAATCTGCTGTTAGAACAATGTTCGAGTTTTACGCATGAGAAGTGGACTTATTCACGCACGTCTTACGTGTACCTTAACGTGTAAAGCCGATTCAAAAACATGTCAGAAGCGTAGGGAAGTCGAAACCTTAGTTTTGCAAATCTCTCGAGGGGAAGTAGGACATACTAATGGCACTGGTTATCAAACGCCTATCGATTCGCCTTATGATCCTCACTAACAGCAACCAAGCTCTCAAGAAGAACAGTAATAAGTTATTCGCGCCTTAATATTAATGTATGCATACAAATTTTAGCGTGTTTAGTTCCACGCTGTCATCCCCTGGCGGTTGGAGAGCCACAGGATCTTAAATAAACGCGGATGTCGATAACTGTTGAGTGAAAGCTTTTACTCTGCGACGTGTATTTGAACAATTTAGCAGAGGAGTGCAAAATGGTGGCTGCAAAGGCGGGCTACTGTCCGTGCCTGCCACTCTTGGGAAATAAATTGTTCTTTTGCTTGCAATTGAGGAAATATGTTCGTTAGAATTGAATTGGACAACTAACAACTTAAAATATAATTTATAGTAAACCGTAGAGGACCTTTTAGACTTGACGGATGATTGCCGTAGATTTTCTTAACAATTCAGTAATGTAACAGGTGAATGTAAGTCGCAACCATACCAAGAACACGTTCACAAAGAGACAATCTCCCACGCAATGTTTGCATATCCATGTTTGTGGAAACCTAAGAGCTATAACAGGTCGTTCGACCACTAAGCAAGGGCATACTTGAGTGAACTAGGTCATGGTAAAGCTAGATGGTTGCGAGGCAAAGCCGCGCTCAAGAACTGAATTAACTTAACGCGTGTTTCAGTTTGTTGGTTGTGAATCGTGGTCTTCTAAGACGTATTCGATCAAGCAACTTAAAGTTTTGTTGTGAATAAAAATGCTGTCGCCGTTGAACGAGTAAAGTAACGTAGACAAGTATAGCTTCAACGAAGCAGCGAGATACGAGTCGGGATGATTCCTGAACTGAGCGTACAAAACTGCCACGAGGAACTGAAATATGAAGGTTGTTTATTAAACGGGCGCCGCTCCCTAATCTACATTGCGCCCCTACTTTTCCCTTAGATTTTCTCAAATTTTCCATAAAGAGACTAAAACGTAGCTCCGGCGGTAATAAGTGAAAACAGCAACACCGAAACTGCTCACAAGACTAGTTTTTGGCGAGTTGAATCACTCGCCTGACTATGTGGAGGAATGCAGCAAATTTGATGTTCGACTAAACCAACAGCTACTGCGGTACAACAGCAACTTTTTCAATCTGTTCAGAAACCTGTTATTTTACATAACTATAACAGCTACTTAACGGTCGAAAACTTCGGTATTGTGAACTTCACCCAATCAGTTTAAGACACTCGGTTAGCTCTTTGAACGCACAACCGCCTCTATCACGTTGAAAACAGTTACTGGCTGGAAGCCTAATTTCAGAGAAATCAAATGGGTTTTTTTGTGTTCATTAGAATACAATAGGAGTCGCTACACACGCTGAATCAATGTTATCTAGAAATCTCGACTGACTTCATGTACTAGCTTTCTAACTCCCCGCGTTTCCTAATCACTCCCAAGTTACCAAACCATCAAACTCTCTTTCGGTGGCAGCCCAAAATGTAAAATCGACAGCAATATTGAAAAGCAAGTCCACATAACTTCGACGGACGTTAGATAAAAATCCGTTAAGACTGGCAGAGTTTTCATTTCTTCAATGCCACTGAGGCGGTACATTATTAGTCTCAATTCTTCCCATTACGTTTGATATCATTTCCTGAGATGCTTCTGAGTTGGACAAAACTTGGCAAGAACTCGCTGAGGCGAACAAAGAAAAATAATTTGAGCATATTATTAAGAAAAACCCCGTAAAGGAAAACATTTTAGAACAACATATGATCATCTTTGATATTCTTCAGAGTAAAGCTTATATTAATTTCTTTCGGTTATTTACTTCTCATTTATGCTAGTCCCATCACAGACGTGATTTGAGACGCGGAAAGCAAATAATGCTGTAATATTAAGTTAGGGCAGCGAAACTGACGCCGAAGAGGATGCAAAATTATCCAAGAGGACATTGCAGTATTTTTAACAGTTTTGTTCATAACTGGTACAACAGTACTATCTCATAATTTCTTGTCAATTGGACGTGAAAATGTAGTGTTGAACTACATTTGACTGCAGTCATCATATCTTCAATCGTGCTAGAGTTGCATGTATTTCTCCGGTTTTGCTAGACCGTAGGGTGTGACTATCATTGGTCGTCAAGACCATGTGATGCCTCGAGATGCCTGTTTACGGCTTTTTGGATCGACAGATTGTGGAAAGGTGGAAAGAGGTCTGTTGCGCCTTCAGAGGACGGGGTTAACGACGTTTACTTTTTCAATCCAACCAGTTCCTCACAGTATAACGATATACAGTAACTGAATAAAATCATGATAATTCCTTGAAATATACTAGGGTTTCAGCATTATTCGTAGAGAAATAGGTGAGAAAGAAATCATAAGGCTTATGAAGATTGGGCTCCCTCAGGTTATAAAATAAAAAGTATTAAATGACATTGATAAATCTAAGTAAATATAAATACATATAAATGTATAACAACATAAGGTAAAGTATCAAACATGTAACCTAAATAATGAGACACTGTGAAGAAAAAATAACTATTTACAAGGTTTATAATTTATAATTCTCACAGAAGTGTTTACGAAGATTTGTTTTGAATGAGGAGAGACAAGCAGAACTTTGATCTCATTTCCTAAAGAGCTGAAAAAATTGGTCCTTGGAAACTCACAGAAAATTTACGAAGATTAGCTGTACAGAAACGAAGGTGAATATCATTCGCGTATTTAGTGTCATAGCTATCATTAGACTTCTCCCGGCGAGAGTCTTCTTTGTGAAAAGAGAAGTAATCTTTGAACCTTAATGGAAGAAGAGAATGGCCATGGTAAGAGAAAACATAAGATTGTCTAATGTCGGAAAGGTTTTATTAATAGCTCCAATTCTTTGAAAATAGGGTCTTGATGAGCATCGATAGTCCCTAGAAACAATTCTAACCCTGAACTCGCTTTTGCAAAGAGACAAGACGACAAGGATTTGTTTTGTAGGTAGATACCCAGACAATAATACAATAATGGAAAAAGGGGTAAACTAAACAATAATAAAGAGTTTGTTAAAACAGGGGTTGGGTAGAAAAAGACCTGCTCTATAACTGACTGCTACTGATTTAGAGGTTTCATAGCAAATTGAGGAATGCGGAGGTTTACAAGACAGATGTTCACCAAGGACTACTCCGAAAATGATCGTTTCCTTCACTTGTTCGATTCTAAATTGATCATGAACACACAAAAGCAGCTTAAAAAATGCTTTTCCGCTGAACGCATGGTAAAACGTTATATATAAATTTACTAGAACACTCATACGTTAGGATTTCACTCAAAAGTGCTGTTAATTTTCCAAGCTACAACAATCTTTTTCTTCGGTTACGTAACTATAAATCCCTGGTTCAAATCGAAGGCTGCAAATCTTCAGACACTCACAGGTCAAAGTTTCACTCACTTGCAGTTACGCAACTGCTTTAGTCAGTAATATCCGTAGATAACATACAGGCTTAGGTTTTCTGTCACGTGCAGGTGAATTTCACTCACGTGCGGTTGGTACACCAAGTTGCAACGCGCCTTTTTTTGGAGGGTGGGTTGCGTAACCAAACCCTGGATTAAAGGTTGCAAATCTTAGAAGTCCTATGAGATGTAGAACCAGGGGATGGTTAGCTAAGCTTTCAAGAGCATTGCAGCTTGCTATGTAAGTGCACGTGAGTGAAATTAAACTGCACGTGAGCTAAACTTTAACCTATGAGTTATCCAGGCTTCGGACCATCTTACGACTCTTTCGACGATTTGCAGCATACCGTAAGAGGCAGGGAATTAATAGTTACGTAACCGAGGGAAACGTCCCGCTTCGCTCACCAATCGAAATTGAAAGGCTATAGTCTGATCCATAGGTAGTTCACAAGTTAAAGTTTCTCTCACATGTTATTTATATACCAAGTAACAAGACGATTTCGGTTTCGGTTTCGCAAACATTCCAAGGCTGCAAATCTCCAGAAGGTTCTGATTCCTAGATCGGTTACGGGCGCGGGTTAAAGTTGAGTCTTGCACGTGCTGATAAATTTGACTTGCGGTTTTCCTATTTCAAGCGTTTTTGGACTGCTGTTTTTTCTTACACAAGCGGTATCTTAGGAATTATCCCAGGGGTATCGCAGTTAGGATAGTCCATAATGTATACCGGCTTAATTTTAAGCATAATATTGCGGCAGAAGAATCAGCATTATGCTGAAATTATAGTGCAACGTTCCAACCAATTGCAATTCTCCGTTGCGTTAAAGATCGTCGTTGCGAATCGCTCCGTTTAACAACACCTTAAGCACCGACTGCAGCAAACTGTCCGCGAAAGTTAAGCTCATTCAAGTTTCTTGATCAAGAAACAGTTTCTTGATCAAGTCGAAAGTTTTACCCCTTCCATTTTATTCGCCTTTACTCTTTGTCACTTGTCGAGATAATGTAAGTATTTTTTTTGTTGTTGTTGCTTGTTTTTTTCCCTTTTGTTTTGTTTTGTGTTTTTTTTAAATTCGGAAAACGAGGTTTTAATCCAGCATTGAAAAGTGTAGATTGAAATGTCAGGATGTGCTTGGTTTGTAAGCTATGTTTACTTAGCCTGCACGCAGCCGAACCCTTTTGGCTATGTTGCTCCC